TTTACCCAAAATATTGACCGAAGTCAAATTAATTCATTTTATAGTCAAAAATTATCATTTTTCACAAATTTTCACATATAGGCTTTCCAGCTACGCGCCCAGAATGCGCACGCAAATCAAGGTGATGCTAAAAGAGGGTTTTAAGGCCTTGAAACGTACAATTCATTTTAAAGTCATCACAACACATTATCTTATTTTTCTCTTTGTATTTGTTTATGCAATCGCAGGATTAAAATTGTATACGATGAAAATCGGAGCTACTCGATTTCATTCTTTGGTCGAGATAGGAATGTCATGTCAAAGATCTAGGACGTCGAGTCATCCCTAGGTCGACCTCGATGACGGACAGAAAGAGGCAGACTTCGAGGAACGCCGACCTAGCTTGATAACGGAAAAGGCGAGATATCTGCGATTCGTCGAGAATCGTGACATGAATCTCAGAACAGATCAATCTACAGTGGTTAATTAGATGTTAATATGATTTCCTACTATAATTAGAAGTGTACATTATTTGGGACTCTCCTATTATATAAAGAGGGATCTCATTCATTTGTAAGCATCATTGTTCACTAATAATAATACACACATCTACTGCTCTTATATCTTGCTTACCGTTCATTACTGTTCGTCATTGTTGTTTCATTTCTTTACTGTTATTACTATTGCTCTATTTCGAGACCGTCTTAGATCGAAGTCGAGATTCCACTCGCATACTAGTTTGATCTATCCAATCTCCTAATTTATCTATTTAATTCCTTGTTTATCAATTGGCATTAAATTGAATCACATATCCTTAAAACCACAATATAAGTTTAATTGTTACTCGAATTTTAGGATAACCAAAAATAGTTTTACCAGGTAATTAAGCTGATTAACACAAGATTATAGATATATAAATTGCAGGCTTGCAACAGTAACTATTGTAAGAGGTTTCGCTGATAGAGCATGTAATAATATTCTTTCTCTGTGTTTCATTTTATATGATACTGGTATTATTTATTACTCCCTCCGGTCCAAAATAAGTGATTTTTTAGTTGTCTTCATACAGATTAAGAAATTCACCTTTTAACATTAATTACCAGTGAAATTGACCATATTAACATTTACTATCTCTTCACATAAATACTCCTAACACATACTCCAATACTATTTACTCCAAGGGCAATGTAGGAAAAAAATAATTAATTCATTCTTGAAATATGGAAAAATCACTTATTTTGGACCACAAAAAAAGGTCAAAGAATCACTTATTTTGGACCGGAGGGAGTAATGCGTTTAAAAGAGAATGACACATTTCTAATTTGATTGTAATTTAATTTTAAAGTTCTTATTTTACACAAATCATGCTTACTCATACAAATTTCATTGCATATTTATAATCACAAGTTCTAAAACTATTTTTATCTCCAAATTTCTTTTTCTCATTTTATTTCTTCCCCCAAAGAGACAAAATAGAGCCTAAAAAGAAGAAGAATGAAATTACCATTCTTGCATCCCATCACAAAAAGGACATGACAATGTCAGAGACAGCTGGGCAGAATGACTTTTCTCAAGTTAACTCTTTGCATAAAAATATTTTAAAAAATTATTACTCCACTATTATCTTATCTCAAAAAACAAATACAACTAAAATATTATTTTTCAATCCAATTCTCCCAACGGAAACCAAACAAATTCTTCCAAAATCATATTTAATACATTCGTATTTCAAAATATAAAAAGAAATTAATCAAATGCCACTTAGCCGAAGTTTTTTTTTTCTTTTTTCCCGACAACGACTGGTAAGTTTGACAAGTTATCGTCTCTATTAATATCCTTTGTCGTAGGGCTGGACATATATCGGGTAAAATTGATAGTCCAAATCGAAAAAGATTTATTGAATTATCGGTATTGAATTATTGGGTTAAAAGTTCGGTAACGATTAAATGTTATTTTACTATTGAGTTATCAGTTCGGGTTTCGAGTTGCCAAATTTTATTAACGGTTTAATCGATAATCCAATAAACTTTATAAAATTACAATTTTATCCTTCAATATATAATTTTAGTTCTTCCAATTCTCTATCTACTGCTGTAACACTCCCAAATTTGTCATTCAACACATAGAGAAACAATGATATAAGGTTTATTATATTCTTTGAGAGGGTTACAATAGTCGAGAAAGTTTATCATATTCTTTATACAGTACACATTATCCTTCATTGCTTCTTCCCTCTAGAATCTAGATTGAATTATCTTATCGGATAAACCAATAACGATCGATAATCGATAATCTATATTTTATCTGTTCGGTTATCGATTTAACATATTTATAAACCGATAACCGATAATCGATATGCTAAACTGATAACAATCACAACCGAACCGAACCGATCGATGTTCACCCTTGAAATTAAATTACTAACTGCAAAAGTAGAAAAAAAATATTAAAAAAGGAAAAAAGAAAACATCTTAGACGTCAAGTATGACACAAGTTCCCTTTTAAATGGGGAATAGAGTTGTTGCCATTTTCCTCCCACCTAGTTAATGCACTCAATTATTTAAATATATCAAAAAGAACATGAGAAGAAGACGGCTATACCATAGCTAAAAAGTGTCAAACTTCCTAGTTTAGTTAATTTTTCTATTAAAAATAGTAATATTGGACTTCTAGTTTTTTCACACCTAGGTGTTTTTATTTAAGAGAAAAAAAAAAACTTTTAAAACTGAATACTTAAGTCTTACATTAAAAAAATACCTGAGACTTGTGGAAAGCGCGTAAGTGAAAAGCCAGACGACATTCAAAGTCGTTATTCAAACTTCAACTCCTTACGTTTTTTAATTCTACACTTCACCATACAAAACTCATAAACCAAGACCCAAATCACCCTCATTTTTATTTCCTTCTTTTTTTTCCTTTAACTTTGCCTCTCCTTACAAATTGTTCCTCATTTTCCTCTTTCATTCAGCTTCCAGATTTCTAACCCAACTCATTTTTTTTGGATTCTTGAGGATTTTTCATTCAGGCAAAAACTAAAAAATTTAGTAGTATTAGTGATGGGGACAAAGTTCATTCTTTTCATTTTGTTGTTTATATTCTTGTTTTCCTCTGGTTTTGTTGCCTGTGGAGGATTTTACAGCTTCAGAAATCTAAATTCTAGTGTTTCGGGTATTGAATTCCCTAACCATCCAAGCTTTAATGCTGTTTCTTCTTCAGCTGACTCAGATTGCAACTATGGAGTTTCTCAAAAATCAAAAACCCATTCAATAGCTCAAGAAGTAGATGGTGTTGATGTAAAAAATGGAGAAAATGAAGAAGTTTCCATTTTTGGAAACCAGAAAAAAGAAGCTGTAAAGTTTCAGTTAAGGCACAGATCAGCTGGTAAAAAAATTGAGGCTAAGGATTCAGTCTTTGAGTCAAGAGCAAGGGATTTAAGCAGAATTCAGACACTCCATACAAGAATTGTTGAGAAGAAAAATCAGAATTACAATTCAAGACTTGCAAAAAGTAATGAAAAACATGTGGACAAACATAAGCCTGTGATTGCTCCGGCAGCAGTTTCGCTGGAATCTTATGAACTTTCCGGCAAACTAATGGCGACTTTGGAGTCAGGTGTAAGCCTTGGCTCTGGTGAGTATTTTATGGATGTGTTTGTTGGTACACCACCTAAGCATTTTTCTTTAATTCTTGATACTGGTAGTGATCTTAATTGGATTCAATGTGTTCCTTGTTTTGATTGTTTTGAACAAAATGGACCTCATTATAATCCTCAAGACTCTACTTCATTTAGAAATATAAGTTGTCATGATCCTAGGTGTAAATTTGTTACATCCCCTGATCCTCCTCAGCTTTGTAAATCCGAGAATCAAACTTGTCCTTATTACTATTGGTATGGTGATAGTTCTAATACTACTGGCGATTTCGCGCTAGAGACATTTACTGTTAACCTCACGACGACGAGTGGGAGTGAATTTAGGAAGGTGGAAAATGTGATGTTTGGTTGTGGTCATTGGAATAGAGGATTATTTCATGGTGCTGCTGGTTTGTTAGGATTAGGGAGAGGGCCGCTTTCGTTTGCTTCTCAGCTTCAATCTTTATATGGTCATTCGTTTTCGTATTGTCTTGTTGATAGGAATAGCAATTCTAGTGTTAGTAGTAAGTTGATTTTTGGTGAAGATAAGGAACTTTTGAAACATCCACAGTTGAATTTTACTTCATTGGTTGGAGGCAAAGAAGTGGAAACATTCTACTATGTGCAGATAAAGTCTGTCATAGTTGGAGGAGAGGTACTGAATATACCCGAGGAGACGTGGAATTTATCGCTAGAAGGTCTTGGTGGTGCAATCATTGATTCAGGTACCACATTGAGTTATTTCGCGGATCCTGCTTATGAGATTATAAAAGAGGCATTTGTCAATAAGGTTAAGGGATATCCCATTGTACAAGACTTTCCTATTTTGAATCCGTGTTACAATGTGTCTGGTGTGAAGAACTTGGAATTTCCCTCGTTTGGGATCGTGTTTGGTGATGGAGCTGTATGGAATTTTCCAGTAGAGAACTACTTTATCAAACTCGAACCAGAGGATATCGTTTGTTTGGCAGTTTTAGGGACTCCTCGATCTGCTTTGTCGATAATTGGAAACTATCAGCAGCAGAATTTTCATATCTTATATGACACCAAAAGGTCCAGACTGGGATATGCACCAACAAGATGTGCTGATGCTTGAAATTTTATGTACAGTATTCTTGGAGTAGAAGGTGGGAAAATTGTGTTCATTATTTCATGAACTTAGAAACAGTTCATATATATTGTAGGTTATACATTATTTTTTCCCCTTAACTGTAGATGATTTTATGTTGTTTGACAGAAACTGGCAACTATGTAAGAAAATTGTAATAGGAGGTTTTCTCACATTATGAAAGTATGAATCATTGCTTTTTAAAGTTCAGTTCATTCTTAATCTTCTATGTACATTGTTTCTAACAATATTTCTAATTGTAGTGTTTTAATCCATGAAAGGGAGCCTCAACGTAATTGGCGTAACAGGAAAGGTTGTTGCCATCCTGGTCACAGGTTCGAGCGGTGGAAACAAACTTTTGTAGAAATGCAGGGTAAGGCTGTACAATAGACCCCGTGGTCCGGCCCTTCCCCGAACCCCGCGCATAGCGGGAGCTTAGTGCATCGGGCCGTTCTTTAGTATTTTAATCCATATGTAGTATGATTTGAAATCAAGAAATTTAATTCAACCATGTATTCTGACATTCAATCTCCTCAACCATATAGAGTGAATAATCATGTGAAACACATCATATCTCTTTGGTGGATCATTTATGACAAAATGCCTTTGCACTTGTCTCACTCCCTCTACCATTTTTTCATATCTTTCCTCAGAAATTCCTAGTAAAATATTTTTCAAGTTTGGTAATTCACTTACTGAAACTTGTATTGAGAACTTATCCCAATCAAGAACATCACTAAAGGGCAGCACATAATTTTGTGAGATCAAAACTGGTACACAGTTTGCATATATAGCCTCCACAATTCTTGGACTTGCAACTTCATAACCACTTGGACATAGGCAAAATTTGCTACTTTTCATCATTTCATCATAAGATAATTCTGGTGGAATTTTGCTATAAACTCTTATATCTTCATCTTTTTCTTCCCAGTGTCGGAAAAGTATAGGCCGAATTCGACCGTGTGATCGTCCTGCAAAGAACCCTAGGATTGTCTTGTTTGACTTTGGCAATGCTTCAACAAGTCCATTAATGTTTCCTGTGAGGAGATTAATCTCTGGAAGTGGTACATCTTTTCTTGGATTAAAGAACTCAGATGTATTTGCATTGCATAATACTCGTATAGAAGTGAAATACATTTGATGCACGTACCATGTAGCTCGAGGCCCCTACAAATGTACAAAACTATATATAACGTCTCGTCATACCATGTAAAAGAAGTACAGTCATATATACCTCTCTATAATAGTCATTTTTATGATAAAATTTTACTATAACGGCAAGTTTTCTTTGGAACTGATTTTTTGATCATGTTATGTTATATTATATGTCCGGACAAATAACGTTATTATAGAGAGGTTTAACTATATAAACTTTTCAAATTCAATAACGTACTTACCCAATCATGGCTTGAAAGCATAAAATGATCAGCTCCAAGGCTTCTATTCCAGTATGGGTATTTTGTCGATACAGTACGAACATAATCACGAAGAATGCGTTCCAAGACGGCCTTATCGCGAATGATTGGATCGAAAAGGTGTTCGAGGATCATAACAACACTAAAGGGAAGGAAATAGACATGAGCTTTGTCAGGATTAAGAGTTTGAAAATGGTTGTTTGCTTCCATTAGGTTAATGAACATGCCTTCCATTGAGTATATGTTCTTGCAAGGACCATAGTGAAATAGAGGCGGTTCTCCTTCTTTGTACACAAATATCTTGAATAGTTTCTCCATTAGCAAATAACTCCTGCATTACTTGCACAGAAGCTAGAAATTTTGAGTAAACAGGGATGAACATACTGGCTGGAAATGTAAACAGTGAATCCGACTTGTTATTTATGTAAAGATTCCAAAATGAATAGAATACTATGGCCGTGTTTGGTATAACGAAAAATATATTCTGTGGAAAATGTTTTCCAAGAAAATGTTTTCTTGAAAAATAAGTAGTAATCTTATTCATTTTCAGGTGTTTGGTACGCAAATTAAGAAAAATAACTTCTCAAGAGTATTCATAAATAATTTAGATACAATAAACATGAATCCATAAACTTTCGAACCAACAACCTTCCGAACCCACAAATTTCACAAACTTCCGAACCACTAAACTTTCGAAACCGCAAACTTTATAATTTCTAAATCCGTAATCTTCCAAACACATAAACCTCCGAACTCATAACTTTGGAACGTGTNGGTTGAGAAGGAGTTTTGGAAAATGTTTCCCCTTATCTTGATAAGGAAATATTTTCCTCCAATTGGAGGAAAATGAGTTCATAAGGAAAATGTTTTCTAAAACATTTAAGCCAACCAAACGTGGAAAAATTGGATTCGTACCAAACACACCCTATGTGTTCTGAGCCAACACCTTGGACTCTCATGCTAATAAAGAAATGTCTCTTTGCTGGGCCTTAGGGGTGACAAAATGGTTCAAAGAAAATAGTTAACCACCCATATTATCCATTAAAAATGGGTTGGATAATGAACTACTTTAAAAATGAGTCAATTATGGATAAGAATCACATTATCCATTTAGAAAATGGATAACCAATGGGTAACCAATGGATAACCAATGGGTAACCAATGGATAACCAATGGTTCTAACTTTTACACTTGTTAAGCCTCAAATTGGGAGTTTCTCAAGTTAGGGAGACTAAGAATTCTCTCAAAAGTGATCATATGTAAGAAGTCATGGAAAATATGGTTACCCATATTATTCGCCGGTTAACCCATTTTTTATCCGTATTAAATATGGGTCGGGTCGGGTAATTTACCATTTTTTCATTACCCGTTTTCGACCCGAACCATATCCGACCCGACCTGCTCGTTTGCCACTACTACTGTGCCTATACAACATGTTTATGGCCTGCCCAAAAAAAAAAAACTAGTCTTCGCCCCTTAAATGAGCAAGACTAGTCTTCGCCCCTTAAAACAGAAGGCCTGATCCAAAACAGATGGAGATATAAGCCTTGAAAATTCGTTAAAATAGCACGGTCTAGCCAATTTTCGAACTGGTCATTCAAAAATAGCCAGCGTTTTCCAAGTCATTAAAAAATAACCACTATTTTGCTGCAACAGAGACTGGTCCAGCATAATATACTGGAGTTCGGTGCACCTGTGTATGAACTTCCAGCATATTATGTTGGACCGGTATACTTTGCTAGCTCAAGTATAATATACTGGAGTTTGGAGCACCGTTTCCGTTCAGACTTATCTTTACATGAAAAGTGGCTAAATTTTGATTACTTTTAAAATTATGACTATTTTTGAGTGACCACTTGTAAATCTGGCTATTTTTGAATTTCTCCCTGAAAATTGGGATCATCACACAAATACCCGACTGGATTTACTGTTTACTTTTTCTAGTCAGTATACATAAATTCTATATATATAGAGAGAGAAGTGGGTGAACGACTATTTAGGTTAATTGTTTCTTAAAAACTCTAGGAAATGAAACTTCTACTGAAGTGAAATGCAATAACGCTTTAATTATTACTTTTCTTTCTTACTTTTAACTTCTAATTTTGAATGGAATGGACCCATGAATGGTAAAATTAGAGAAGGTAATAAAGTGCAAGAATTTGATGAACTTGAAACTTTACACCTAAGACGTGTGTAAAATTTTTGTGCTGCTACAAATTTTAGATTATGGTTGTATAGGTCCAAATTTAGTGATCACGGTAACGAATAAGCAAGACAAAGGATGGGGTCGACCATAATATAATGACTGAAGGTCGTTCTCATAAAGGCCGATGCCAGAAGCGGGCAGCCGAGATAAGAAAGTAACAGTAGCATAGGTTCAGAAGGGGACATAAAGAATATTCCTTTAGATATTCTTTATGTTGTACTTTTTAAGGTTTTGGGGAATATCCCTTATAAATAGGAAAAGATAGGGAACAAAAGGGCATCTGCTCTCTTGACTAGAACATATTGTAAAGGGTTGACAGAAGCATATACGAGGAAGTTGTCTTATTCATTGATTTATTCAAGCATATGGTGTTCAATCTTTATCCATAAATCTCAAGATTCCATACCCACCTTGACTTCTCACTTTTCTGTGTTGCTATTAGAGAAAATGGACATCCCAATCATATAATAATTGGATGGTAGATCCTTTCCTGTTACATTCCTTGTCATTATTTACAGTTATTACACATTTATGCTATCATATTTATTGTCAATCATAGCACATTAAATTAGCTATTTAATACTCTTGAGCTCTACTCATTAAACAAGTACTCTATTTTACACAGTCTAGAATTTATTAGGCTCAATTGAGATTCTCCTTTTAACTCATCATTAATTGGTTTAGTAATTATTTGCTCAAACAATTTGGCGCCGTTTGTGAGGAGGTTTTAATTGAAACTATAGTTCCTTCTAGATCATAAAAAAGACAGCCATCTTTTCTTCGTTTGCACAAACTAACGATGGCAGGAAAAAGAGATGCATGGCTGAAAGCGATAGCAGGTGTCACTACCAACATTCTGAACACCATTAACGAAGATGGTTGGGAAGACAACGAGAACGTGACACCAAACGCTACGCCTAGGCGGAGTGCTTCACCTCCCTCTCACGAAAGCATAACAGCTTTACGCGAAAGGGGAGCCTCCATGTCTACAGCTGAAGAAGCACCACTAGCAGTGAAAAAATTACTGGAAAAGTGACTGACAAGCACTCTAAACAATATACTCGACAGACCCGTTCAAAGGAAGAACAGAAACACCGCGCAAGTAGATACCACAACAACCACTAGCAAGCAGCCCATCCCTCAAACAGGTAACACTTACACCACTGTTGATGCAGGTAATGATGCACTCGCAGTCGTTCTAAAGAAAATGGAAGAAATAGAAAACGAAAACAAGGCACTCCATAACCAGATGCGGGAGCATCGAGAAAGGGTCGATAAGATACCGGGCGCCCCAAAAATTTCTACCAAAACAAGACGTTGGTCGGTTCATCGAACAACCGTACAACAAGTAAGTAGCTCCACATGCCATTCCCAAAACCTTCAAAATGCCATTGTACCTGAACATATAGATAGTACTACAAACCCCGAAGATCACATCATCCATTACATCACAGCGGTGAAGGTCAACGACCTTTCGAATGAGCAAGTACCATCAGTGTTACTGAAAAAGTTCGGTGAAACCTTAACGGGTGGATCCTTAACCTGGTATTCACAACTACCAGCGCGGTCAATAGCAACGTTTGAGGAAATGACCGACAAGTTCGTCACCGTCCATGCAGGGGCTAAAAAGGCGGAAGCTAGGGTGAATGACATATTCATCGTTAGGCAATCGTCTAGCGAGGGACTCAGGGACTTCCTCGCCCGATTTAACAGGGTGAGAATGAGCCTACCAAATATATCAGAAGGGATGGCGGTAGCGGCTTTCCAGAAAGGGTTGAGCAGGAACGGGTCGAGAAAAACCAGAAAACTATTAAGTAGGCTCATGAAATACCCTCCCACCACTTGGGAAGAAATCCACAATGCATATTGCGTCGAAGTGAGAGCCGATGAGGACGACCTTAACGGTTTGACCCAACGGCTGATATCAATTCAAACAGAATCAAGGAAATATCATCTTAATGACGGTCGAAGAGATCAGTCAGGCCCTCGTCTCAACCGAGAAATACATCAGCCCTACGTCAGAACAACCGTCCCACCGTCTCCTCGACATACGGAAGGGCCGCCCAGACCGCACACAGGGACTCAGCGAAACGAAAGAGGTATGCCTCCACTCTTATCCGCTCACAATTTTTGTGTTTCCCCTTCAGAAATAGTGTACGCACTAGAGAAGCTTGGCACAAAGGTGAAATGGCCACAAAAGATGAAGTCAGACCCAAATACTCGAAAGTCGAACGTCCTCTGTGAATTTCACCAGGAGCGGGGTCACAAAACCGAGGACTGCATAGCTCTACGGCAAGAGGTAGTAAACATACTAAACCAAGGGCACTTGAGGGAACTGATAAGCGATCGTGGACGAGCCAACTTCGGCCGCAGACGTGAACAACACCAGGGACCTCCAAAACCACCCTCCCCTGCTCGTACCATCCAAATGATCATCAGCGGAGGCGATGAAGCAGCAATCAACCATGTGAAGTCCACCACTAAACATAAACTGAAATGGTCGATCACCCACGAATGATACGACGACCTCGGAGACAGTATTATCTTCGATAAGTCAGATACCGACGGTTTGAATTTCCCTTATTTCGATGCTCTTGTTATTACTTTGCCTATTTCAGATACTGATGTGAAAAGAATAATGGTAGATGCCGGAAGCGTTGCATGTATTATCCACCCTCGAGTCCTGGCACAAATTAGACCCGAAGACAAGATAGTACCGCATTGCATAACACTAACAGGTTTTAACAATGCAGTTGAGCGAACCTCTGGGGAGATAACGTTACCTGTTCTGTCCGGGGGCGTCACCCTATAAACAACATTCCATGTCATGAACCAAGACACAACTTACAACGCCATCATAGGGCGGCCATGGATACACACCATGAGGGCCATCCCGTCAAGCCTCTATCAAGTAATCAAGTTCCATTCTCCATGAGGAATATTCAGTATTTGAGGTGAACAACGCACCGCCCAAGAATGCTATTATATCACCCAGGATTGCACGAACACCCAACAGCTAAAGGGAATAGATGCAGAAGCATAGCAATTACCAAAGCCGGGGACCAAACTCGACATACAAACAGACGTCAGCAGGAACCCCGATATCGTGGAAGCCG